AAAAAAAAAAAAAAAGTCGTTTGTTCCAAAAGCATAAATCTGACCTGCTTTAGAATGACTGTTTTTGCTTCCTTGTTATCATTAAGCAAATGAATATACTAAGCGCCTGTCTGGAAACCAGGTCATTCGAAGTCAGAGGCTCTCAATTTGGGTTTCAGCTTCCCCTTACATTCTTAAAAAGTATTGAGGATCCAAAAACTATTTATTTATTTAAATTGTGTGTTATAGCTAGTCATCAAACAAATTAAAACAAAAATTAATAGTACTTATTAACTTATATTCAATAATAATAAACTATTACATGTTATTGTAAATAAAATATTGTATGAAAGGGTGGTACCTGTGGCTCAAAGGAGTAGGGTACAAGCCTCATATGCCGGAGGTCAGGTTCAAACCCAGCCCCAGCTAAAAACTGCAAAAAAAAAAAATTTTTTTTTAATGAAAAGTAATTATGTTTTCTGAAAGTAAACAATTTGATAAAAAGAGTGACTGTTTTTACTTTTTTTTTTTTTTGAAACAGAGTCTCACTATGTCATCCTTGGTAGAGTGCTGTGGCATCATAGCTCACAGCAACCTCAGGCTCTCGGGCTTAAGCAATTCTCTTGCCTCAGCCTCTCAAGGAGCTGGGACTACAGGCATCCGCCACAATGCCCGGCTATTTTTTGTTGCAGTTGTCATTGCTGGTTAGCTGGCCTAGGCCAGGTTCAAACTGCCAACTTAGGGATATGTGGCTGGTGCTATAAACCACTGTGCTATAGGCACCAAGCCTGTTTTTACTTTCTTTCTTTCCTTTTTTTTTTTTTTTTTTGAGGCTGAGTCTCATTCAGCCCAGGCTGGTGTGCTGTGGCATCAGCCTAGTTCACAGCAACCTCAAACTCCTAGGTTCAACTGATTGTCCTGCTTTCTAGCTAGCCGACATAAATGTGCCTGTCATGGTGCCTGACTAATCTTTCAATTTTCAGTAGAGACGGGGTCCTGCTCTCAAGGTAATCTTGAACTCTCTCTCAAGTGATCCTCCCAGCTTGGCCTTCCAGAGTGCTAGAATTATAGGCATGAGCCACTGCGCCTGGCCTTTTTTTTTTTACATTTTCACAAATCTCTGTAATGCCTGGCTGGCTTAATTGAAGATAGATGGCTTCTCATATCTGCTTCTATATTCAATGTGTTATAATATATATGTCATGTAGCCCCTGGAAAATAACCCTATGTATTTGAGAGTGAAAAAGGCAAATAACAACTTAATATTTTTATGAAAATAGTTTTGATTTTATAGACCCTGCCTAGACCATATTTTGAGAACCACGGTTCTAGATATTTGTGAGTTAAACAGGTACCATACTTGGTATATAGACCCTTAAAATCTTATTAAAAGAAACCATATATGGATAAAATAATGATTATCACAATAACGTGTCAAGGAAAAGCATGAGAAAATGGATTCTGAAGTGTGGTAAGCAGAGGGGAAGAGTCATAGTATTTAAATTTGTGTCCTGTCTAATTAGTCAGAGACCATATCTTATATGTAATTGAGTTAATATTATGAAGAAGGGAGTTTGAATATTTGATTGAATGAAGGAGAGAGATGGGTGAGTTAGGAAATATTAAATGCTTCGTAGTGGGGGAGTGCTGTGTAAATGAGTTTCACCTTAGTGAAGTCCAGTTTAGTGACCCAAATCATAAATTTCTTCAAATTTCTAGGGAAATTTTTTTAATATGATTTCACTGACATAAGATTAGATTCCTGTTTCTTGTTTCTTCTCTTACCTTGTTCCCTCTCTCCCTCTGTGTGCATTGTGTATGTGTGTGCAGGAGTATATGGACGTACACATGCAAACATACACACATCATGTATTTGCCTGTACACCCACATAATACATACATGCATCATATATATATATTTTTTGCATATATATTATTTTAGAGGTGCAGCACTATAGACTCAGAAAGGCATTGATTTTGGAAGTCAGATAGATTGTTCTGCTTTATACTATGTATGTAATTCAGAGAAAATTTACTTCACAAGACCTGTTTCTGCACTTGTAATTGGAGAATAATAGCATCTCACTAACTCTGAATATTAGAGGCAGTGAATTAATATATGTAAGTTTGTAGAACAATAAATATGTATTTAATAAATATTCAATTGCTTTGTATTATATCTCAGAGTTTAAATCATGTTTATGGTAGTTCTAGAAAGACTTTCAGAAATTATTCTGAAAATTATTCTATTGTGGCACAAGAATAATATTTTTACTTTAAAAAAATTAGGAAGCGGCTTGGCGCCTGTGGCTCAAGTGGCTAAGGCGCCAGCTACAAACACCTAAGATGGAGGGTTCGAATCCATCCCGGGCCCGCCAAACAACAATGACAGCTGCAACCAAAAGTAACTGGGCGTTGTGGCAGGCGCCTGTAGTCCCAGCTACTTGGGAGGCAGAAATAGGAGACTTGCTTGAGCCCAGGAGTTGGAGGCTGCTGTGAGCTGTGATGCCATGGCACTCTACCCAGGGGGACAGCTTGAGGCTCTGTCTCAAAAAAA